TTTTTTTTTTTTTTAGTGTTGAAATTGGGCAATCTATGCTAGTATTATATGTGTGTTTGGGTGTTTTGGCGATAATATTTTTAAAGCTTGTGTCTTTCTCTGTGTTCTTGTATGCCGCAGAGATTTTAGACATTGAACGTGAAAATGAGTGAGGAGGGTCCATAGAAAGGTAGGTAACTAGACATAGTTGCAACTATTTAGCTCGCTTTATACTTCATAAATACAAATGGCAAGATTTGTAGTTTTTGGCTACCAAAAAGGCCTTATTGAATGGAGTTTACTAAGACCAATTTTTAACTTGTGTTGAGATATTAATTCATTTAGGGAGGAAGTGAAAATCACATTGGCTACTGCCTACTGGGCATTTGGATGTTTAATGTAACTTTTTTGTAGTGGCCAACATACTTTGCAAAGTTGCAGTTACATTAGGTATTTTAATATGCATGATCTTTGTTCTTTTAATGTAATAAAGACTTGTTAAATGAAATATAAGAGGCAAGGTCTCGAAGAGACTCATGGCCAGCTTAGCATTTTAGTATTAACAATAAACAAGTAATTTTCTCAAAGATGAGATGATGATTTTTCATTGTGTATTTTTTGTTCCAGGTGAAGGTGTTCACACTTCATTCGAATAAATGCTGACTTCTATTTACATTATTTAGATCCTCTAGTATTTCTAAAACTATGTTCACAGTGCTGAACTTCTCCCTTTGACGACGATTCTTAGAATGAATGGCTTCCCGTGCCTATTACAGTATAACTAAGCGATCTGAATCTCTTTGAAAATATCTGCCTCGTAGTGGCAGTAGGTTACGCTATTTTGCAAGTAAGTAGTGTCTAGAAGGGAATTATGTTGTTTTTTTTCCTTGCTCACTTCATGAATAGGGGATGAGTCAAGCCAGGTCCTTCAATTTGACCACTGCGGGGTGGGGCATGGATGTGTCTTTTCTATATAGAGATAGTTGTTATTCCTAGATTACATTTAAATTTTTTTAGAAGATATATTCAATATGTCATATGTCATTAGGGTGATGGTTTGTTATAGAATAAGTGCCATGATGTTAGTGGCCTCACTGGTGTTATTGTATATTAAGTTCTTTATTTGTTTTCAAATCAGGCCCAGCAGTTATTCCAAAGGGATGCACAGACGATCACACCTGAAGCTCTTGAAAGTGTTAAAGCTGCACTTGCTAGTAGTGAAATTGAGCACAAGGCAGAAACCAAAAAGAAGGCACTACCTCGCAAGGCTGCCGGACAAACTTGGGAGGATCCAACACTTGCTGAATGGCCAGAAAGTATGCCTGTATACATTTTTTCTTGTCTTTTTTGTTTATAATTTTTTAGCTAGTTTATGTTTTCGATAATTTTGTATATGCATGATAATTAGGCTTGAAAAAAGCCGTGAACTTGGTGCAAGTGTGCAAGTAATATCTATGTGTCACTTAAAGCATTGGGTTATGTACTTATGTTTATCTTTTAGTTTTATTTTTCATGAGGATCCTAATTACACATGTGGTCCTATTTGCTTCATAATTATTTTGCACATTTTTGGTTGCTTAGACTCTACGCCTACTGATTGTCTGATTCCATCATTCCAATATTGCATATTTTTGGTTCTTTAGTCTATCTGGTGGCATTGTCATCTTTAAAGGTTCCTTTTAAGAACAGTTTTATTTGACTTAATCCTTTGTAACAAGAAATTCCTCTTGCGGGATTTTTTTTCATGGGGGTAACAAACTGTACCCTTCCTGTTGAATACACGGGTATTGGTCATTATACTGATTATAAATATATATTCAACTTCTCCGGTTTCCCAGTTATTGCTCCACAGCTACAACCGTAGATGTTCTGTCTCGGTGGTCTAATTATCCTTCAGTGCAAAATGTGCACATATCAATGTCCTTCTATCACAAATGTTAGCTACAACTTAGACATTCATACCCACCTTTATTTATGTGTGGTAATAAAATAAGTTGTCTACTTCATGGCTCATAATCTCTTTCATCGTACACATTATTCATCTTGCAATTTCTGTTTTTTAGTTTTGGTTGAGAACTGCTGGTAAATATGTATTGTTATTCATGTAACAACTCTGATCATAATGGTTTCATATAATTGGATTGTTGTATATTCATTCAAAAGCCGAGGATGATAAGAATGTTTTTGCTTCAATATTTCTCATTATTTTCTTAATAAATGCGTCTATAAGATTTTGTGACATACTGACATGGATAAATTTGCAATTATCACAGACGATTATCGTTTGTTTTGTGGAGATCTGGGTAATGAAGTGAATGACGAGGTTCTATCAAAAGCATTTTCGAGGTTTCCTAACTTTAACATGGCTAGAGTAAGTCCTTCTCACACGTTAGATTTTACCATTCGAACTTAGTAATTTTTAATAGGAGAGGCTTGAACTCGTTGACTTGATTTGTTTAAACTCATAATGCTGTTTGCATTCCCAGGTTGTTAGAGATAAAAGGACAGGTAAAACTAGGGGTTATGGATTTGTTAGTTTTTCTACACCTGCTGACCTTGCTGCTGCCATGAAAGAAATGAATGGTGAGTGAAATTTCAATTATAATATCTACACACTATCGTTGTTATGGTTGAGATGCTTTATAACATGTTCATTACAGAATTTGTGGTGCTAGAATATTTGTTTGTTCATTTGGCTTTCTCCTGCTCCATGAAGTTTAAAACAAATTCTACAGGTAAATATGTGGGAAATCGTCCAATAAAACTACGCAAAAGCACCTGGAGAGAGAGGACTGACACAGAGGCCTTGGAGAAGCAAAAGGTAAATTCCAACTTCTGCACTAGTCTGCCTTTTGTTGTTTCATGGCTGTTATGCTATTTTCTTATGATGATATCATGACTTGTGACAGTACCAAAGTCATAAGAGACCAAAGCCGTCGAAGAAGGGCATCTTGCACAAGTGAGTTTGCAGTACCAAAGTCATAAGAAACCAAAGCTGTTGAACAAGGCAAGTCCATTGCATACCTAATTTTGTAATGCTCTCGTGTGTTATGGATGCTTTTGTCATATAAAAATTAGAACATGACTAATGATCCTTAAGAGCAACTTGCCAAATCTGTGTATATTCTAATAATGATCAGTTAAGATGGTAAATGTGCATAATTGAAATATTAGGTCTAAATATGGGCTAGTTCATTAAATTGGTCAAGCCGTCAAGCTACTGACTGTCATTGTTGGGGCGAAGTTTACATACTGTCATTCTTTTTTCTTTTTCTTTTT